CTCTCTCTCTCTCTCTCTCTCTCTCTCTCCCACTGACTTACGTCCACTTCCCGTACAAAGGTCACCGACGGGGGACCGGGCCCTTTGTCGTTGTAGATTTTCGTGATGTGCGTCATACCGGGACTTTCCGATTGTCCACACAGGGAATCCCCCTGGATTCAAACAGGGAATTCCACCCCTCGATGATGGGCGAAGATATTCCAAAAGAAAAAGTCCACCATATACTTGTTCAATTATTGTTCATGTTTGCAGAACTGCCAGGGTACACAGCTACTCCATTTCGTTCAGAATGGCGGAAAAAAACACCAAAAAACGGCACAGATCGCGTCTTCATCTTCACAAGGAAAAAAGGCACTTCACACAAATTTTCCCCACTTCATCCCGGTGGGAATGGGTACCCAGCCACAGACAGCGAAAGGTCTTGTCAGTACGTTAGTGTTTTAGCGCCTATAAATGGCCGCTTGCACTGTATGCTTCCCAGGAAGTTGGGGTTGTTTCAGAGTGCTCTCGGGCCTGCTGGGGTAATAGTATAGATTGTGAAGCGCATAGAGCTTGCTGTTGAGTGGGGATTTACCCCTCACAAATGCTATCTATTAGTAGTATTATTATTATTAAGCAGGACCTCGTTGTCCTCCTCACAATTTATTCTATCTTCCATTCCTCTTCCTCCTATCTCTTAGCGGACCAAGAGGACACACACGTATTATTATGACCGATCAGAGAAGTAAGTCTAAGGCAATGCTGAGCAGGCACATCTCGAACCATCATACCACACGAATCAGAAACACAAATTCCGTACAACATTTCAAAGTATGTTTGTTGTTGTTGTTGTTGCTCGCCTTTTCAAGTTTCAGAAACAAAGGAAAACTATTTTTTAAAACTAAAAAACCACAAAGACATGTAGGAATACAAAAGTTATACTACAATACAGTCTGTCTAAAGGCGTTGTTGAATGACCATATCGCGCGTCTTCACTTCGTTATCTCAAAATTACAAAGTTTTATCCGACATTTTCGGCCGTTTTGAGTTACTAAGACTACGATCAGATCACAAACCAAATGTTCTATCCTCTCTATCAAAATCGTAAGACTATTCGGAGTCGTTATCAAAATAGTCAAATAATTGAATTTGAAAAAGCTTGAAGTATTGAGAAACACATTTTTTTTTGCATCAAATTTATCAAAACTGGGTATTGAGCAGATAGAACGCTGTAATTCTGAGGTAGCGATTTGTCGGCCCGGGGTGGAAGAAGTCTGCGCAGTCTAACTGAATTACTGTACAGGGTCAAGGGAGAATCTTTTTCAGTTTTAGTAGAGGTTTTACGGCGCTCGTAACTGCATAAGGTCATATGAGCGCCAGAAGATTAGAGTTGTTACAAGGGAGTAACAAACATAAAAAAGAAGAAGGGGAGATAAGGACGATAGATGTTTGA